GCCCCCGCCAAAAACCAAATAAAAACAAAAAAACCAACCAAACATTTTTGAAGGCTGAAAATCAGCTTTAGACTGAAGAGAAAGTCTTCTGATAGTCTATTGTTTTGTTTTGTTAAGACTTATTTATTATGTATACAGCATTCTGTCTGCATGTATGCCTGCATGACAGAAGAGGGCACCAGATTTCATTATAGATGGTTGTGAGCCACCATGTGATTGCTGGAAATTGAACTCAGGACCTCTGGAAGAACAACCAGTGATCTTAACCACTGAGCCATCTCTCCAGCCTGTTGTTGATTGATTGATTTATTTATTTATTTTTATTTGTTTGGTTTTTCCAGACAAGGTTTCTCTGTGGCTTTGGAGGCTGTCCTGGAACTCATTCTGTAGACCAGGCTAGCCTCGAACTCACAGAGATCCGCCTGCCTCTGCCTCCCGAGTGCTGGGATTAAAGGCGTGCACCACCAATGCCCGGCTGTTGTTGATTTTTTGAGACCAGGTTTCTCTGTATTGTTTTGGAGTCTGTCCTGGAACTTGCTTGGTACAGCAGGCTGGTCTTGAGTGCTAGGAACAAAGGCATGGACCACCAACACCTGGCTGGCAGTCTGTTGTTAATTAGAATGGATGTACAGACCTAGATAAAGCAGGTCCAGAGTTAGCAAAACAACAAACCCCTGCTTGGTGGTTCCTGCCTATCACCCCAGCACATGGGAGGCTGAATCAGGAAGATTGCTGCAAGTTTGAGACCAGGCTGGATTACAGTGTGAGATCCTGTCCCCTAAAAAAGGACAAAAACCCAAAACCCATTATTTCTCCCAAGACTAGAAGCTGTGAAATACTACCAACTCTGTCATTTGTATTTTGTTTTGTCTTTTTAAAAGCTAGTTATGCCACTGGAGTGAAACTAATCGGTTTCTTCTAGTCTTACTTCCCTCAGAACTTTTTTTTTTAATTTTTATTTATTTATTTATTACATATACAGTGTTCTGCCTACATGCCAGAAGAGGGCACCATATTGAATTGTAGATGGTTGTGAGCCACCATGTGGTTGCTGGGAATTGAACTCAGGACCTCTGGAAGAGCAGTCAGTGCTCTTAACCTCTGAGCCATCTCTCCAGCCCAGAACTTAACTTCTTAAGTCAGATACATGGAGCTTCTATCGAAGATCAGTTCCCTGAAGGACACCTATGCAGTGTCCTCCATCTTAATCCACTTCTGATACTGTCAACCTGGACCTGTCAGCTCTTGCAGGTTAAAAGGGCTCAGTACTGTGGGATTGTCCCATCTCTGCTTTACATGCTAGTCTCAAGTAGTGAGTTCCCCCAAGTTACCAACAGCTTACCACTTGGCTACAAACTGCATGTTCCCACAATCCTTTCCTCATTTTCAACCACTTGCCGTTAAAATAGCTCATAGAATTTAGGAAAAGGACCTGGAGAAGTTTGTTTACTAGATTTATTACTTATCTGTTTTGAGGTAGTTTCTTATATAGTCCAGTCTGTTGTCTACTGAGGATAACCTTTAACTGATCCTCTTTGGAAACAGCCAGATGGAGAGATCAGATTCTTTCAAAGCCATCCTCCCAGAGCCTCCATATAATCAATACAAACTCACAAAGTCCTGTCGTGGAGCTTTTATAGCCGCTTCATTATTAAGCATGGTTGAGTAAGTCACTGGGCACATTACAGCAGCTCCAGTCCTCTTACCATTGCTGATGGTAAGTCAAAGTGAGGTGGAGAGCTCCTCGCTGTTTCTTTAATTCAGTGCAGGAGTTTGAGCCTAGGACCCTGTGTTTCGTAGTAAGTGCTGTGTCACTGACACAGACCAGATAGCACCCTAACCTGAACATATTTTGAAGCCAGGCTCCCACCTGTTGTTCTTTGCTGCAGCTTCGGCAATGAAACACGATCTCGCCAAACTCAACAAATCCACATGGAGTCTATTGGGAAAGGGAGCCGAGGGAGGGGAGCAGAAATGGAAAGAAAAGAGAACAGGCAGGAGGCGCTTCCTTATGTAGGGAAAGGGAACAGTCCGGGAGGGGGGCTGGAGAGATGGCTCAGAGGTTAAGAGCGCTGCCTGAGTTCAATTCCCAGCAACCACATGGTGGCTCACAACCATCTCTAGTGACATCTAGTGCCCTCTTCTGTTGTCCAAGCATAGAACACTGTATGCATATATAATAAAATTAAAAAAAAAAAGAACAGTCCAGGAGTTGAAAATGGAGACATGGAGCTGCTGTTGACCCAGCTCTGCGCACCCCAGTTCCACATTTCTGCACGCAGAGTCCTTATGCAGCCACCTAAGGGATGCACGATGCAGCCATGCAGCCTTTGACAGCTGTCAGTGAGGAGGGATCCTCTGTCAAAGATGGATCCCTGGGCAAGGGAAGGTAGCCTGGAGAAGAGCTATCCTGGGCAGGTAGAGAGCCTGAGAATTAGAGCGACCCTGCAATCAGGAAAGGTTCCCTAAGGAGAAGGCACAGACCCAGGAGAGGGCTGGCATGGAGTGACAGGCAGGTGTTGAGGAGAAACCACAAGGCCAGAGAAGGAGAGGAGTTGGGAGCAGGAACAGGGCCAGGTTTCCCAGGACCCAGGGAGAGGTCGAAGAGGTAGAAGCCAGGATGTCAGCACCACCTGCCATCATTTACCCCAATATGCAAAAAGATTTCCTGGAGTGGCAGGACATATACATTTAATCTCGACTGGCCATAAGGAAAGGCAGCATTACAAGAGCTCTACGTCAGCTTTGGTTGCATTTCACGATCTTTCCCCCAACAAAGAACACAAAAGCACAGACCTTAATACAGTAAATTAGGTGCCAGGTAGTGGTGGCACATGCCTTTAATCCCAGCACTTGAGAGGCAGAGGCAGAGGCAGGCAGATCTCTGGGTTTGAGGCCGGCCTGGTCTACCAAGAGAGAGGTCCAGGACTAAATAGAGAAACTCTGCCTCAAACCAAAAGCAAAAGAAGAAAAACTGGTAAATTAGCCAGGTATGGTGGCAAATGCCCATAATCTTGTCACTCAAAATGCAGAAACCAAAGGATTGAATTCAAGGTCCTGTGGTCTGCATAGTAACTTACAGGCCAGGCAAAGCAATGTAGGGAAACTGTGTCTTACGACAAAACCCAAAGCCTAGTAAGTTAAAGTTAGACACGAGAGAGCACACTGTGAGAATCAATTCATACTATGTACATTCAGAATAGGCAAGTACATAAAACTGGATTAAAGGTTGACAGTGTGAGCTGTGAGTGTTGTGTGCTCAGATGCAAAGGTATTCTGACTCTTGGGAGCCACAGAATATTGCATGTTACAGCTCAGATGGAAAGGTATTCTAGCAATCGGGAGCCAAGGACTACCACAGGTCACAGGAAGCTTGGCAGCTTATAGCTCTGCTCTGGCAGGGGAGGGCTTTCCCAGTGTATAACAACTCCACCTTGCTAGGGGAAAGATTTCCCAGTGAAAGTGTTACAGTCTGCTCTGGCTCAGGCAAAACGTTACTTCTCTCCACCCTGGTGAAAGAAGATCAAACCCAAATCTCCTTCAAGAGATTTATTGAGAGGGAGGAATCCAGGAGAGTGGCTGCCTCAGCGAGGGTGGCAGAGTACAGCCACAGGAGAGCCACAAGCTGAACAGGGACAGGGTTTATATAGGACTTCTTAGCGCACAGAGTTTTTCTGGGGAGATTTCCAGGGTGGGGATTGGTCAGATTTCAATCCCTGAACTCAGGTTGGCTAGATACCATGCTTAGGAATTGGTTTTCTGCTCAGGTTCAGTGTCAGATTTGGCTCTAATTTTAGGGACAGGGCATATTTCTTTTTTTTTGTTTTTTGTTTTTTGTTTTGTTTTTTTCGAGACAGGGTTTCTCTGTGGCTTTGGAGGCTGTCCTGGAATTCACTTGGTAGTCCAGGCTGGTCTCGAACTCACAGAGATCCGCCTGCCTCTGCCTCCCGAGTGCTGGGATTAAAGGCATGCGCCACCACCGCCCGGCCAGGGCATATTTCTTTTACTGACTCTGATTCTAGAGTCAAAGTATATTTATTTGGCACTAGTTTCAGGGCCAGGGTGCATTTATTTGGTTCTGGTTGCAGGGCCAAACAAAGTGTATTTCTTTTGGCTCTGCTGAGGGTGTGTTTCTTTGACTGACCCTTTTCCCCTACAGACATTGCCACTGGGTGGATGGGTAGGGGAGCTCTTTGAAATAAAAAAAAGTATGTTGAAATTATATAGTGGTTATGGGTTGCATTTTTTTCTTTCTTGAGACAGGTCTCCTGTAGCTTAGGCTGGCATCTAGAGGCCCACATAACCTGATCCTCTTGCTTTCATTTTCAAAGTACTGAAATGCCAGGCCTGCACCCCAGTGTTGACCTCTTTGATGAGCATGAGACAGCACCCCACTGTGGAGCCTAGGATGGACTTCAACTTTCAATTCTGCACTACTCTCCCAATGCCGGAATTACTGTTTTACAAGGCTGTATTGGATTCACCCTATACCACTGAATTATACATATATGACTATATGCAAATTATATGACTAAAATTTGAGGGGACATCACAATCAGCAGTATTTTTTTTTTTTTGAGACAGGATTTTTCTGTAGCTTTGGAGTCTGTTCTGGGACTCGCTCTGTAGTCCAGGCCTTGAACTCAGAGATCCATCTGCCTCTGCCTCCCAAGTGCTAGGATTAAAGGTGTGCTCCACCACCGCCCGGCTGTTACATCTTTTATGTAAAAAGCAACTGAGTTATCGACCGGTTTCAACTGATCTCTCAGTTAAACCAATAAAGTTTTTTTGTAATTATCTGAGTACCGTGCATCCAACCTTTCTAGAATCCTGGTTACTTCCTTGAAGATGAACATTTGGTTCCCCAAAACTCGACTCCACAACAAGTCACTCAAAATGCTTACTTTCCAGAAAACAGCCCAAACAACACTCCGTAACCAAGGGAACAAAACGCTATGCCCTCCCAAAATGGCCGCCAGCGAGGACCGCCAGGCTGTCTAAGGAAGCTGCGTTTTGTACTTCCGGTACCGCCTCTTCCGGCGCTAGCGGCGGCTTCGCGGAAGTGAGCGGCACACGTGTGTTTGCTAGGGGTCCGGTAGCGATGGACGCCTTGGATAAAGTCATGTAAGTGTGTGTGGGACGCGAAGTCTTGGGAGGGAGTCTCGGTGACTGGGATGTTGCCTCCGCCGTGGTCTCGTCCCGTTATCGCGCTCTGGGAAGGAGCCGGCCGCGTCTCCAGCCCGCGTCCTTGCCGGTGAAGCGGTGCAGGAGACCGAGCTGCGGCCTGGAGCCGCTGATGGATTCTCAAGTGTGAGCCTGGCGGTGGATGGAGTTAGGAGTCCAGGCCCTTAATCAATTTACCCTGTAAAATAGCTGTCATGATAGCTTTGTGTCGTACAACTGTAGGGAGCAGTGTTTGCCATAACAGCGCAAAGTTTTCATCTTCCTTTTCCGTTCAAATTTGTACACCTCTGCTTGCTTATCGCTGACTGATGGTTACGTTTGTTCAAAATACTTACCGAGTTGCCGAATGTTACTGCATTGGCAGTTAGAGTTTTCCGCCGCCCCCGCCCGGTTTTTCGGTACAGGGTTTTCTTTGTAACTCTGGCTGTCCTGGAACTCGCTCTGAGGATCGCGCTGGCTGGCCTGCAGAGTGCTGGGATTTAAGTCGTGCGCCACCGCCGCCCGGCTCAGTTTTTTGCTTTTTAGATAATCGTGCCATGTAAATGACAGTTTGTTCTTAGTCAGATTTTGTGCACCCACCGTGCCTCACCAATAAAGCCAGTAAGGTGCTGTTTACATTGACTACTGGTTAGTGAGACTGAAAAAGACATGGACTATAGAGTGTATGGCCGTTACCGCTGTATAAACGCAGTGCGTGCCTTGATTTGATTTAATAAAAAATGCATCTTCAGTGACCAGTGACTAACTACATGGTTTTACGAATGGCATTTCATTGGAGGACAATTTTTTGACTATGTGGGAAACTAAGGTGTATGTATATTGCCTTTTCCCTCTCTCCCTCCCTGTCCCAGTACTGGAAGATGGAAGGTTATATTAAGAGAGGAGACATTTTGTTAATAGATGAAATGAAATAGGAGGCAGAGTTGAATCCTTTCTTTTAAACAGAAATGTATAATAACATCCTATTATTGTCCCACCATAAAAGCAGAATAAATTCTTTTTGTTTCTTATAGTGGTTGTAGGTGGTTGTAGATTTGTAGATGAATTCTTTTTTTTTTTTTTTTTTTTTTTTGGTTTTTCGAGACAGGGTTTCTCTGTATTGTTTTGGAGGCTGACCTGGAACTCAATCTGTAAACCAGGCTGGCCTCGAACTCACAGAGATCCGCCTGCCTCTGCCTCCCGAGTGCTGGGATTAAATGTGTGCGCCATCACCGCCTGGCCATAGATGAATTCTTTTCTTTTTTTTTTTTTGGTTTTTCGAGACAGGGTTTCTCTGTGGCTTTGGAGGTTGTCCTGGAACTTGGTTGGTAGTCCAGGCTGGTCTCGAACTCACAGAGATCCGCCTGCCTCTGCCTCCCGAGTGCTGGGATTAAAGGCGTGCGCCACCACCGCCCGGCTTTCCAAACCTAATTCTTAACTTAGTCCCTTAGCCCCAAAATTCTTTATTGTTTGATAATAAGAGGTTTGGGAAAAACAAGTGCTAAAACAATGTGGAAATATCCAAAGAGTTTTTGTAAGGAACCAAAAACTGGCAAAACACGCATTTAACAGTAATGATAAGATACCTTTGCTAATAATATCTCTGAAAAGGTGAGCATTTTTATGTTGTTATTAATGATGGAATCCTACTTGATAGATGCTGATTATTTTTAGGTCATCAGTCAAGTTGTAGGTGTGTCATGGGAGGAAACTGTGTAAATTGTTATGAATTGTGCTTTTTTTTTGGACAGAAAGCCTAAAACAAAAAGGGCTAAGAGATTCCTTGAGAAGAGAGAACCAAAAGTCAGTGAAAACATTAAGAATGCCATGCTGATTAAAGGGGGAAATGCAAATGCAACCGTGACTCAAGTGCTCAGAGATGTGGTAGGTACATTGACTTGCTCTTTCCTTTCTTTAAACTAAGTATCTGCGTGGATGTCCAGGGAGGCCAAAGGCCCTGCATCATCTGTAGCTGGAGTTACAGGTGCCTGTGAGCCTCCCGATGTGGTAGGAACTCTCTACAAGAGGAATGCCTCATCATCTTTCTAGCCAGGTTAACTTGCTTTAAAAAAAAGTCATGCTTGGTGGCACACACCTTTTATCCTATCCTGGTGTACAGAGGGACTTCCAGGATAGCCAGGGATACACAGAGAAACCCTATCTCAAAAAACCAAAACAACAGCACACAGGGTCTTACTATGTAGTCCAGGCTGACGTTGAGTATTCTTTTAAAGTAAGGTTAAGCTATTTAGGAACTTTTGAGCATACTGACTTGTGTCAGATGTGATTAGGATTGTGACGTCTTTTGTTTTCTTCGAGACAGGGTTTCCTACCACTCGCTCTGTAGCCCAGGCTGGCCTCGAATTCACAGAGATCCACCTGCCTCTGTCTCCCGAGTGCTGGGATTAAAGGCGTGCGCCACCAACACCTGGCGGTTTATGGGCATTAAAAAAAAATTGTGTATGGGTATTGTGCTTGCCTGTATGTCTGTGCACCACCGATGTGCCTGATGCCATTAGAGTCCAGAAGATGGCTTCAGATCCTCTGGAACTGGAATTACAGAGTTGTGAGTTATCATGTGGTATTAGGATGTCATTTGTTTCCTCTTTAACCATGTAGGCTATGGGACTTCAACCCAGGTCAGCAGGCTTGCTGGCAAGCACCGTACCGCCCGCCCGAGCCACACCACTTGTCTTTGAACTCTCAGCCCTTTGTCTTCACTTTCCGAGCCCTGGGATTACAGATGTGAGCTACCATGTCTGGCCTGGCTTGTTCATCTTTTTCTGAAATGTTTATTCTGAATGTTGTACTGAGAGGAAACAGCCTCTCCTTTCCAGTGACCCTACACAGTTAAGTACGTTCTAAGAACAGTGCAGTATTACAGAGCAATGTTACAGTGCAGTGCAATATTACATGATGGCCTCTGTTGTCAGAAAAAGGTGGCAGTGCTCATTACACCAAGACAGGGGAAACACTTAGCTGAGAATCATCAAATGCTTTACTAAACATGGTGCCACATACCTGTAAGCCCAGAACTCAGGAGTCAGAGGAGACAGATTGGCCGTCAAGGCAGCCCACGCTTCATAGTGAGATCCTGCCCACACCCCTGAATTGAAATCTGATGTGATGGCTCATTAGTATAATTCCAGTATTTGAATGACTGAAGCAGGAAGATTGCCATCACTCTGTTTTTGAATGCTTTGTTGAGAAAGTTTTAAATTATGTTTTACAGTATGCACTGAAGAAACCATATGGAGTTCTGTATAAAAAGTAAGTTGGTATTATTATTATTATTATTACTTATTTGTTTAGCTGTAAAAGTAACAATTGCTTTATGGAAGATTGGAAGAAAAAAGTATTTGATCAGTCAAATTAATATTTGATTGAATGGTTATTTTAAAGTTTTTTGAGACAGGGTTTCTGTGTGTTAACAGCCTTGGCTGTCCTGGAACTCGACCTGGCAAACTCCTGCCTCTTCCTCCCAAGTGCCACCAGGCCCTGCTCAGAATATCCTTGTGTAACTGTAATATGCCCATGCCTTACTTTGAAATAATTACATATGCACAGGAAAGTTGTAAGACTTACTAGAACTCCTGTGTGTCCTTCACCCAGCTCCTCCAGTGTGACATCTTGAATTATTATAGTGCAATTACTCTAAGTGGGGAATTGACATTGCTGTGGTAATACGGAGTAAAGTATTGATTTATTTACTTGGCTCTTTTCTCTTTCTAGTTTCCACACTGTTTTTAGTTGTTTCTCTAGTCTTGATTTTTTCCCCCTCTTGGCAGTTCTGGGGATTGAACCCAGGGCCTTGTACATTCTGGGCAAGTGCTCTGCCACTCAGGGATGTCGGTCCCCAGTCTCCAGTCCCCAGCCATTATCTTCTGTTGTTGTGTGTATGATGCGCATGTGCAGCTCTCATGTCCCATGCAGGTGTAGAGGTCAGAGGACCGTCTTGTGCGGTTGGTTCTTCCGTCTTCCTGGAGGCTCTGAGGATTGAACTCAGGCTGTTAGGCTTTCAAGGAAGTGCCATTGTGAAAGTCTTATTGGCTTTGTCTCTGGTTTCTTCATAAAGTTATTATTTTTCCCTTTGTAGCTAGTAAATATTTAGGGAGATACTTTGAAACTATGCAAATATAGTTATCACTCATTATTTCTTGGAAGTGGAACTATGACTTCCCAGGAATATACAATTTGTGGGTACTACAGTCCCGAGTATAAAATGGCATGGTAGTTTCATAACATATGCACAGCTTCCTGTATACGTTCAGTTGTCCCTACATTACTTACTGTGTGAGTACTGGGTGCACAGTTGTGCTATATTGCTTAGGGAAGAATGCTAAGAAACAAAGGTCTTCCAGTGTTGAGTGCAGATGCAGCACCCCCCCCCCCCAATAATTCCTACACACAGTTGCATGAATCTGTGGGTGCTAAACACACAAATTCTGAGGACTCTGTCTCCTTCCTTTCTGGAAGCTGTTACCCATCCTGTCTGCAGTGTCTATGTGTGCGGTCAGAACGGTTGTGGTGTTCTTGTGGCCTGTCTGTTTGTGCAGTCAGGATGCTGTGATACTCTAGTGTCGTCCTGTCTGTGTGTGTAGTCAGGATGCTGTGATACTCTCGTGTTCTGTCTGTGTGTCTGTGTGTGCAGTCAGGATGCTGTGATGCTTTAGTGTCCTGTCTGTGTGTCTGTGTGTGTAGTCAGAATGGTTGGAATTCTGAAGTAAAAAGTTGTCTATCCTTTTATTTTTAAGTTACTTAAGTCAGTGTGTGTTCAATATACTCTTGAGGGTTATAATACATGCTGCTATTGGATCCCAGTCAAATTCAGTCTCAGAATACAATAGCCTTTTAATAAGAAAATTTAAAACAGAAAAGAAACAGCAGAGATGGCTTAGCAGATCACTTTTCCATTATTCCTTCTGTATATAGTCTGTATTCTTTTACTGATAATGTTATTTGTTTGGTTTTGTTTTTTGTTTTTTTTTTTTAAGACAGGATTTCTCTGTATTGTTTTGGAGGCTGTCCTGGAACTGGCTCTGTAGACCAGGCTGGCCTGGAATTCACAGAGATCCACCTGCCTCTGCCTCCCGAAGGCTGGGATTAAAGGCGTGGGCCACCAATGCCCGGCTGGTTTTGGATTTTGAGACAAGGTTGTGTATAGTCTAGACTGACCTCTTACCTTCTTTTTAATATTCTTAGGAAAAATATTACAAGACCATTTGAGGATCAGACATCACTGGTAAGTTCAAGCCTCTTTACGAGAGTTCATATGGGCAGCACTGGTGTATGGCTTGGGAGTGAGCGGTAATGGTGCTGGCTCGTGCTTGCCTAGCATGCCTGAGTCTCGTTTCATCCCCAGCATTCAGAAATAACAGAAATAGCTGTGTAAAAATGACTCCAGACTAAGGGCTTTGTTCATGCCAGGCAAGGAGTCTGCTAACTGAGCCACATCCCCACCACTCCTGGTAGTTTTAATGAAAACAAAAACTTAACGTCTAGAAAGAGAAGTGTTGGAGTGCCAGCTCCCAAATAATGACTTAATCTGCAGAGGATGACTGAATGTATGGTCCCCCTTCCTCTACTTCACAAGTACTGGTATTAAAGACATTTAGCAACACACCTGTCAGGAGCTTTTTACAGAACACATTTTAGAAAATGCATTCCCATCGACTTAGACCGTGAATCCATTTTACAGAGTTTTTATTTTTAATTATATGTGCATATGTGCATGAGTCTGTGCACATGCAAGCCAGTGTGTGCAGACACCAGAAGCATTTGATCCCTTGGAGATGAGAGTGCTAGGAATTGAATTCAGGTCCTCTAGAAGACCAGGACCAAGGAGTCTAAGCTGTATTCTGACTATAAATATTTTTGAGCGCTTGTGTAGAGTGCCATCAAATGACATCTCGTAACCTTGGGGTTTTGCAAGACTTATTATTTCTGATAAATTAATTCTCAGGAAAGTTAATTTCTAGGACATTGTAAGGTTCACAGCCTGAATTCTTTCTTTTTGAGATAAGAGTCTCCATGTACCCTGGCTGTTCTAGAACTCACTGTGTAGACCAAACTGGTTTTGAACTTACAGAGATCTACCCGCCTCTGCCTCCTGAGTGCTTCAATTAGAGGTGTGCACCGTCACACTCTGTCTAGCCTGAATTCTTGACTTTTCTAACTCCTTCACACTGGAAGTGGATGGGCAGGCAGTTCTTTGCCCCATTTTCTTCTGCATAGAAACTTACTGAATGAGCCGGGCGTTGGTGGCGCACGCCTTTAATCCCAGCACTCGGGAGGCAGACAGGCGGATCACTGTGAGTTCGAGACCAGCCTGGTCTACCGAGTGAGTTCCAGGACAGGCTCCAAAACAATACAGAGAAACCCTGTCTCGAAAAACCAAAAAAAAAAAAAAAAAAAAAAAAAAGAAACTTACTGAATGATAATCAAATTAGGAGCTCACCCCTCAGGGAGTAATAGCCAATGTGTGTGGCAAGGGATGGGTTGTGGGGTGGAGAATTTATGGATTGATCCTGTTTTGCCTGTTCTTTGATCTTTTTCATTGATTTTGAAGGGTTTCTAGCTGAATCTAATTTGTGCACATGTGGTGTGTGCATGTGTGTTTGTGTGTGCAGGTAATATGTTTGGTTTGTTTGAAGACAGGCTCTTGCTGTGTAGCTTTGGCTGGCTTGAATTTGCTGCATTGCTTCTGTGTCAGCCTCCCAAATGCATGAGCCACCACAGCAAGCCAGCCTAAGATTCTCCAATGGTCTTTCTTTTGTTCTTTATAGGAGTTCTTTTCAAAGAAGTCAGACTGTTCTTTATTCATGTTTGGCTCCCATAATAAGAAGAGGCCGAATAATCTAGTAATAGGTAAGTATCATATTCTTTGTTGTTTGAGATGGCTGGCCTAGAACTTACAGAGATCCCCTGCCTCGAGTGCTGGAATCGATGGCATATGACACCACTCTTTAATGTTTTTACTCATAGAGTCAGCTCCATGCCTCATATGACTGTTTCCAGGATTCACTGTCAATATGAAAGCTCAGAGTAGTTTCTGTTGCTGCTGTAACCTTGTTATTGTTTTTTTTTTTTTTTGAGACAGAGTTTCTCTGTATTGTTTTGGAGGACTGCTGTAACCTTGTGACACTGGATACTTTTTTTTTTGGTTGGAGTCTACCTCAGTGGTAGACCCTTTGCCCAGCCTTTTGAAAGCTAAGTTTGGAATCCTAGCATCACCACCGAAACTTTCTATCCACCAGTGACATCAGTATTGCCTTCCAGCCTAGGGAAGTGAAAAAGAATGTGAAGTAATTCTTTTTTGTTTGTTTGTTTTTTGTTTTTTGAGGCAGGGTTTCTCTGTATTGTTTTGGAGCCTGTCATGGGCTCAGTAGACCAGGCTGGTCTCTAACTCACAGGGATTCACCTGCCTCTGCCTCCCAAGTCCTGGGATTAAAGGCGTTCACCACCAATGCCTGGCGTGAGTAATTCTTGGTTAATAATCTTAGGACACCATTGCAAACATCTTGGAAAGCACGTTTTAACAGGAAATGTGGGTTCCTGGTGCTCTTTTTTTTTTTTAAATTATGTGCATTGGTGTTTTGCCTGCATGTATGTTTGCGTGAGGGTATCAGATTGTGGAGTTACAAACAGTTGTTAGCTGCCATGTGGGTGCTGGGAATTGAACCTGGGTCCTCTGGAAGAGCAGTCGGAGCTCTTAACTGCTGAGACATCTCTCCAGCCCCCCTGGTGCTCTGTTTATCTATTTATTTATTTTATGTATGTTTTTGTATATATACAAACCACATGGAGTTACAGGAAGTCATGACATGGGTGCTGAGAACCAAAGTCCTCTGGAAGAGAAGGAAGTGCTATTATCCACTGAGACTTCTCTCTAGCCCTGATATATAGAGTTTCTATCAAACATGTTTAGTCATAGGCAACCCCTTTACACTCTGTGGTCTTCATATATCTTGTTTTTTTGAGGGTGGATGTTATTGTTAAGGTTTTATCCCAATCCTGATATATGCTGACCACTCCTGGTATTGCTGAACTACTCTTATAACTCATTTTATTTAATTGTTATTACTGTTTTGTAATTTATTTGTTTTTATTTTATGTGCATTGGTGTTTTGCCTGCATGTGTGTCTGTCTGTGTGTGGGTGTCAGATCTTGGCGTTACAGACAGTTGTTGACTGCCATGTGGGTGCTGGGAATTGAACCCGCATCCTCTGGAAGAGCAGTCAGTGCTCTTAACCTCTGAGTCATCTCTCCAGCCTCTTGTTTAATCATTTTTTAGTAGAGTCTATTTATCCCCAGACTTGATATGTAGCCCAGATTGGTCTTGAGCTCATCCTCTTGCCTCCCCAGTGTTGGAATTGTAGATGCTCACTGTCACACCCAGCTCCCCATTTATCCCATAAAGTAAAGGAGTTGGGCTCAATGTGAGAGTGTAGAGGTTTTCCTTGACTAGTATCCTAACAATACAACTTAATAGTAATGTCCAAGTTTAAGAAAGGAGTGTGTGGGCTGGGCGTTGGTGGCGCATGCCTTTAATCCCAGCACTCGGGAGGCAGAGGCAGGCGGATCTCTGTGAGTTCAAGGCCAGCCTGGTCTACAAAGCGAGTTCTAGGACAGCCTTCAAAGCCACAGAGAAACCCTGTCTCGAAAAAACCAAAAAAAAAAAAAAAAAAAAAAAGAAAAGAAAAGAAAAGAAAGGAGTGTGTGAGTTTGGAGAGGCAGAGAAGACACGGATCATTGGGGGCATATAGTTATATTGGGTGGCTGTTTGTGAAATCTTTATGTTTAAAAATGCATTTCCTTTTAGGTCGTATGTATGACTACCATGTGCTGGATATGATCGAACTAGGTATTGAGAAATTTGTGTCTCTAAAAGATATTAAGGTAAGATATTGATCATAAAACTTAATAGCATTTTAGTAATGTTCTTGGCCAATCCAATACTGGCATCTTGTGGTAAAAAAGTACTGATAGAATTTTATAGAAAAAGAACCTCATGCAGAAATACAATTTTACCTTTATTTAAAAAGAGAAAGGTGAGCCGGGCATTGGTGGTACACAACTTTAATCCCAGCACTCGGGAGGCAGAGGCAGGCGGATCTCTGTGAGTTCGAGGCCACCCTGGTTTACAAGAGCTAGTTCCAGGACAACCTCCAAAGCCAAAGAGAAACCCTGTCTCAAAAAAACCAAAAAGAAGAAAAAAAATGTGGACTGTGTGGTGGTGGTACACCCAGTTCTCAGAAGGCAGAGGCAGGAGGATCTCTGTGAGTTTGAGGCCAGCCTGGTCTACAGAGGGAGCTCCAGGAAGAAATCTTGTATCAAAACAAACAAGCAACAACAACAAAAGAGGAGTGTATTTATAACATACAATACATGTGGATCTTATAAAGGCTAAACTTCAGAGTGATGACCAGTCCTGGTTAGGCCTGTGATGTAAACGCTGTCTTTCCTAAGTGATAACATTTACAGACAATCCAAAGATTTCTGGTAGAACATTGCTCTACAATTAAAAAGCTCTGCCGGGCATTGGTGGCGCAAGCCTTTAATCCCAGCACTCGGGAGGCAGAGGCAGGTGGATCTCTGTGAGTTCGAGGCCAGCCTGGTCTACAAAGTGAGTTCCAGGACAGCCTCCAAAATAATACAGAGAAACCCTGTCTTGAAAAACCAAAAAAGAAAAAAAAAAAAAAAGAAAAGAAAAAAAGCTCTGACTGCCCCTGTGATATTTTGTCTCTTAGCTATTGAATTACCAGCATAACTCCTCTTCAGGAACCTGCAACTACCTGCTTTGTTTGAATGGGATTATGAAACAGGAAGTAGTAAAGTATAGCCAAAACAGCCCGAGAAAGGCAGGAAGTGTCTTACTTCAGATTGTCCCATCAGATACATTATTTCACTTGGATCTTAGAGGTGTGAGATCAAGGCAGTTTCCCCTGGCTGGTGGGGTCTTTGTTTGCTTTTGAGGCAGGGTTCACTGTGCACTTTGGCTGACCTGGAACTTCCAATGTAGACGGTGGTCTTGAACTCAGAGACCGACTGCCTCTGCTATTTGAGTGTTGGGATTAAAGGCATTCACCACCACACCAGGCCCAGTTTTCCATTTAGATTTGGTGATTGGAACCCAAAGGGGTTTAATTGTTTAACCTTAGAGTCATGCATGTGGTAGATAAAACCAAGATTAGGATTTAAGCGTTTAGAGAGAAAGAATATGGTTTGTAGTGGAGGCTGTATAACGTAGTGGGGTTTGTGTGTTGCTTTGATGTAGGGTTTTGAATAACCCAGGCTGGCCTCAGACTTGCTGGGTAACCAAGGCTGATCTTGAGCTTCTGGTCTTCCTGTTTCCATGTTCCAAACACGCTGGGTTTGCCGGCATGCTCCGCTGTGTGCAACTGAGCTGGTGGGACTTGAGGCGCATGGTATGCTTAAATGATAGTAAATGTGTGTCTTGCTCATTTCTTCAGCTCTCCTTTAAAAAGGGGACAGATCTCGAAGGGTTAGTAGAATGATTAAACTAAATATCCTTCTCATGGCTTTGCAGAAAGGCTTTTGCTGGCTCCTGTGTAGTCAGTAACTCCAGCTTCCTTGGGTTCAGAGTAGAATAGCGACCTCAAGTGGACCTGTGGGTTCAAGGCATGTCTTGCCATTTAAATGATATTTGTGATTTTCTTGATCCTCAATTGTGGATGTAGCAACAGTAAGTGAGGTAGTATGTGTAAAAATGTTGAGATTATGTTAACATGTATTGGTGATCTTAAAAATTGTCATATAAGTTCTTTGGATTTTGGAAATTATATAATTACAGTACTTTTTTTTTTTAAATCTCACAGACTAGTAAGTGCCCTGAGGGAACAAAACCCATGTTGATATTCGCTGGTGATGATTTTGATGTAACAGAAGACTATAGAAGATTAAAAAATCTTCTTATTGGTAAGTGTTAACGGAACTCATCTCATTAACAATTACAGCTACTTTTGAGACTTACGTTTTCTGTAAGATTAAACTTGTTCACATTCCTTCACCAAACTGTACAATACTCATATCTTTTGCTCCGTTCTTTTTGTCCTACTGAGCTTAGTAAGGGTTGCATTCATAAGCATAGGGAGAGGTGGTGGAGGTTTACAGGGACACAGGCAAATTACCAGTGGCTGTGTTAAAGAAATTTCTCTCTTCTCCAGCAACAATTCCTGCAAAGGCTGTTTGGGACCTCTTTAGTCCCTTCCCCATGTTTTAGTTATGTTTCTATTGCTGTGATAAAGCACCTACCACAGCAACTTGGGGAGGAAAAGGATTTGTCTGGCTTACATACTCCGTGTCTCAGTCAATTGAGGGAAGACTAGACAGGAGCTGAAGTGGAAGAAGCCACAGAGGAGTGCCTCCTGCTGGCGTGCTCCTCACAGCTTGCTTAGCCTGTTTACCTACCCAGCGATGGCACCTGGTACAAGAATCCCAGCTGATGACAGCCGCCGTGTCATGCCTGGACGGTAGAGTTCACGGCACTCCTCCCTTCCAGCTCTTTGGGTCTTCCTGCCCCCCTCCTCACTTCCCTGATCCTCGGATTTGAAGCTAATCCAGCACTTACTTACTTTCGTTACTTTGACCAGTTGTGAGTCTGCAGTAACTGCTGCCCTCTACAAAGGATGCTTCTCCAGCGGTGAAACCGAGGGCAACACTGATCTGTGGTGTACACACAAATGTAGAAGCAGGGCAGTTCGACAGTAATGTCATGTCCAGTTAGCTAAACACCAGAGTTGCGTCTCCATCGGGGCGTGTAACCTCAGTCACAGGCTTTTGACCAAGTTTACAGTATCAGATGTGAATTTTCTCCTGCAGAGGGGACCTCAAAGCTAGTGAGAAACAAGTTGTTTATACTCATGACAGTCATGCATTGTTGCATCAGGGAGCGAATCTTGCCTTGTGGGTCAATAGTGTAGCATGCAGGAACCACAGCTGAGTTAAGACTGTATTTTTTATTTTTATTTTTTTAACTCTTTACTCTTGGGGGTGGCACCCAGCTTTCAAATAATCACATGGAGACTTACTGTTACTTATAAATGCTTGGCTTGTTTCTAGTAAGCTTTTCTTAAATTAGTTCATCTGCCTTTTGCCTCTGGGCTTTACCTTTCCCTATTTCTGTATATCTTTTTTCCTTCTTATTCCATGTCTGGCTATGCAGCTGGGTGGCTGGCCCTTGGCATCCTCCTCTCCTCCTTTTCTCTTCTCTTCTATTTATTCTCTGTGCCCACCAGGTACACCTGTTTTTCTCTCCTGCCTAGCCATTGCCATTCAGCTCTTTATTAAAACAATAAGGTGTTTCAGGCAAAGTAACACAGCTTCAGAGTTAAACAACATAAAGAATGCAGTACATCTTTGCATCGTTAAAGAAATATTCCACAATATAAAAGCATGTAACACATATTTAACTGATGTTCCACAACAAGCCAGCAATCCAGGAGGGAGAAAGCTTCTAGCTTAGTCACACCTTGATTTCTCTGTGCTGTGACCAAAGCTTGCGTCTTCAGCAATGGTGTTTTATCTAGTTCTGGTGGGCAGCTGTCAGCAGCGCAGTAACCTGTGTTATTTAAGGTGAGGGAATATCTTTTTATTTATCCATTTATTTGTTTGTTTGTTTTTTCGAGACAGGATTTCTTTGTGTAGCTTTGAAGCCTATCCTGACACTCTGTAGACCAGGCTGGCCTCGAACTCACAGAGATCTGCCTGCCTCTGCCTCCCAAGTGCTGGGATTAAAGGCATGTGTATTTTTAAAACTTTTTGTGGTCTTTGCCCTATGCCATTTTTGAAAAATTGGTTGCATATAAGTTGTGTACTTGACTTTAAAAACAGGAGGTCATCAAAGGATGGTTATCATAATAGACATGTTAAGACACAAAAAGCTCTCATATTAACTTGCAATCGTTTATACTTGTATTACTGGGATTATAATGTTCAGAACTCAGTCAATAATAATAACTATTTTTATTATTTTTTTGTTGTGCTGAGTATTGAACCCCAGAGCCTTAGACTGCTGGTCAAATGCTCCACCTCCCACTACTCCAGACCTTAAGATTTATTTATATCTGAGTGTGTCTGTGCATGCCACAGTGTACACTGGGAAGTCAGAGGACAACTTTGTGTAGTTGGTTCTCTTTCCATCATTACATAGTTCCTAGAGATGGAACTCACATCTTCAGGTTTATGAGTAAAGCACCTTTACCTGCTGAGCCGAGTCATTTGCACTCTTGGTTATTTGTGACACCGTCTCACTCTGTACTTGAGAGTAACCTGAGACTCAGTGTGAAACCCAAGCTGGCCTTGAACTTACAGCCATTCTCCTGTCCCAGCCTTCCAAATGCTGAGATATAGATATAAGCCACCACACCCAGTGGGTTTTTTTTGTTTTGGTTTGTTTGTTTGTTTGTTTGTTTTCGAGACAGGGTTTCTCTGTATTGTTTTGGATGCTATCCTGGAACTCTCTCTGTAGACCAGGCTGGCCTCAAACTCAGAGATCCACCTGCCTCTGCCTCCCAAGTACTGGGATTAAAGGTGTGCGACACACCCAGTGTTTTTGAGAAGGGTCTTGCTGTGTCTCAAGCTGCTTCAAACTAGCCATGCAGTCTTCCATTCAGTCTTTTGAGTTTTAGGATTATACTCTTGCTCTGTTACTCATGGCTTTGTGTCTTCTCTCTCCCTCTTCCTTTTCTTTTTTTCTTTTTTTTTTCCTTTCCTTTTTTTTTTTTGAGGCAGGGTTTCTCTGTATTGTTTTGGAGCCTGTCCTGGAACTCCCTCGGTAGACAGGGATTCACCTGCCTCTGCCTCCCGAGTGCTGGGATTAAAGGCATGTGCCACCACCGCCCGGCTCCTTTTCTTTTTTCTTAACTTTCCTTTTTGCTTCGAGACAGGGTTTCTCTGTGTAGCCCTGGCTATCCTGGAATTTGCTCTGTAGACCAGGTTGACCTTGAACTCAGAGATCAGTCTGCCCCTGCCTCCTGGGTGCTGGGATTAAAGCATGTGCCACCACCAGGTCCCTTTTTCTTTTTGTGCATGCATACGTGTGCATTGTGTCTCTTGAAACGGGTTTGTACCTAGGCTGGTACCAGTGTGCAACATTCCTTTTATCTGTTTCTTCTAAGTACTGGGATTTCACAGAAGTACAAACATGTGCAACTACTCGAGGGCTAACTGGATTTCTCATTAACTTGGACTTCCACTAGATGGCATGAAAGACTACATAAGACTGTGATAAGGGAAGGGAGTGGAATGGAAAAGAAACTTGGGACAGAAGCAGAAATGCAGTGAAAGTGTTGTTGGTCAGGGGAGGCTAGGTTTAAGTATAAATAAGTCAGGCCGCTGCTTGGTTTATGTTATGTGTTCAAATGAAATACAGTACAGCAGCCCTGTACTATAGAGAGAGTCATCACATGATCTCAGTCTGTGAACACCATATTTACATTGTAAAGTGGCTGTGACACCACAGGGGAAGTAACTTTAGGATGTGTCCTTATGCAGTGTGTGACAGGAAAGTCAGTAGGGAAAGGCTCATAGAGGACCCTCTCCTGCAGATTCCTTTTCTGGTCTCTTAAACAGCACAGTGAATCTACTGGGAATGAACCATATATATGCTAGGCAAGCCTTCTATCATTGGATTATACACTCAATTGCTATTTAAAAAATTATTATGTGGGTCTGATACGTATGTGGGTGTGCATGTGTGTGGAGGCCAAAGGACAACTTTGTGGCATTGACTCTCCTTCCTCTTTGGGTCCTGGGGATTGAACTTGGGTCTCCAGGCTTGCTAGCATGTACACCTACTCACCGTGCCATCTTACCTACTTGGGACTGCTTTTCTTCATGAGAACCCAGTATAATGTGTAAAGGGAAACCTTTTCCTTGAGAGAAGCCTTCCCGCCAGCCTCGTTCTAGAGCTGCATCAGTCCCAAATAAACACATAGGCTATATTAATTATGAAGCTGTTGGCTTTGCTTGTTTCTTACTGGCTAGCTCTGCCTTAAGTAGTTACCCCATAATTGTTAATCTAAGTATTTCTCTTACCGGAGAGGTTTCCGGGTTTCCTACCCCATGGCGTTACATCTCGACTCTCTGTGTTTCTCCTTCCCAGAGTTCTCCTGGACTCCTAGTCCCACCTATCTAGATTCCTACAGAGCGAGTTCCAGGACTGTTACACAGAGAAAGAGGACAGTGAACAAAGACTAGGCATGTTTTGGTGCATGCATTGGGAGGTAGGGTCAGGGTTCAGCGAGTTCAGAGTCACCCTCGTGGTGAGGAGTTTGAGGATGGACTGGCATTACTAGTTATTAACATATCTCAGAACAAACTAAAGTAGGGCTAATTACATGCTTGACTTTGGTTATAGTCCCAATGCTGGCGGGGTAGAGACAGTCTTGCTGACCCTGGGGGAGCCTAGCCAAGGGTACCAGGGAAAGCCTGCTCCTGGGAACAGAACTGGAGATTGCCCTCTGGCCTCAATGAGAATTTGCATATATTCCCCTCACACCCCCTCCATGTGTATGCACACACACACACACACACACACACTTGTAACCTGTAAAGATAGCACTTTGAAACTTTTTTGTTTTGTTTTGTTTTTCGAGACAGGGTTTCTCTGTATTGCTTTGGAGGCTGTCCTGGACCTCGCTCTGTAGACCAGGCTGGCCTCGAACTCACAGAGATCCCCCTGCCTCTGCCTCCCGAGTGCTGGGATTAAAGGCATGCACCACCACTACCCGGCTGTAACTAATTTTTTTTAAAAAGTGATTTATTTATTTTTATTTTATGTACATTGGCATTTTGCCTGCATGTATGTCTGTGTGAGGGTATCATGAGGATTAGCTGTCATGTGGTTCTGGGTGTTGAACCTGGGTCCTCTGGAAGAGTAGCCAGTGCTCTTAATGGCTGAGCCACCTCTCCAGCCCCTGTAACTGAATTTAGACTCATCTTGAACTCACAGAGGTCCGCCTGCTCCTGCCTCCTAAGCGCTGGATTAAAGGTGTGCACCACCACCGCTGGCTAGTTATTTTTCCTAACAACTGAATGTGTGCTTTCAGATTTCTTCAGAGGCCCCACAGTGTCCAATGTCCGACTGGCTGGATTGGAGTATGTTCTGCACTTCACTGCTCTGAACGGGAAGGTTTACTTTCGAAGCTATAAGTAAGTACATTTCCCGGTGTTGTTCAGAATCCTCACGCTTCATTCTAACTCATAGTTGGTTCCTGCCCATTGGGTGTGGGGAATTTTTAGTTAGCAATGGCAGGAGCTGTGCCCTGACCCTCTCTTCATCCGTCCTCTCTGCTAACCTTGGTCTGAGAAACTCACTTTTCCAGGGTCCCTGATCATCTCTCGTGAGCCTAGTATGTTCAGTAATCTTCCTTCTGTGGTGTCTCATTATTATTCCTGACTAGATTGAGAGCACCAAGCCACAGTCAAGCCAGACAAGGCAGTTTTCACAATTTTAGATTTGAAAGCTACAACATAAGCAGGTAGAAAGTACCAAGGACAGACTACATTAATTTCTCCTCCAGCATAGGTTTCTGTCATAGCCCAGTGCAATATCAACCTGAGTATAAACCCAACAAGCAGATGGTTCTGTTGTTTGGTTTGAGGTTTTGGAACGCTATCTATATAGCTTAAGTCTGGCCTTGTACTCATTGTGTCGTCTGGGTGGACCTCAGACTTGGAGTCCTCCTGCCTCAACCTTGTCAGTGCTGGCATTACAGGCTGGAACCAGTACTCCCAGTCAGATTCTTATTTTATTGATGAGATACTGACATGCTAAAATTACTCCTTGTAATTTTGCTCTTCTTGTCAGTTAGTCCTTCTGTGCCCCAGCGGTATACAGGTTCACTGATGGACAAGCTGGGCAGGCTCAGTCCTTTCCTCGTGGCCTTGGTCACTCTGCCCTTCTCACTGCCACTGCAGATAACATGAAGGTTGGTTGACCTTTGGCCTCTTCCACATGCACACATGTGTGCTCGTGCACACATGCACATGCCTCAGACGTAAGAGCAAGGGTAAACCGTAAGGACATCATGGCAGTACATCTTTTATCCAGCATTTGGAGGGCAGAGGCAGGTGGATCCGCCAGAGAATATGATTGCTGAGTCACTTTTAGGGTTAGCCTGGCAGTCATTCATGGAACAGTGTTTTAATTTTAAAGTCAGAACCCCTAGTGTAAACTTCTGTTTTCATTTTGGGGGGACAAGGTTTCATGTAGCCCAGGCTAGCTTTGAACTTTCTGCATAGCCCAGCTGGCCCTTCATTCTGACCTCTTGCTTCCCTCCCCAGCTCTGAAGTTAAAGGGTTGCTTGTGGCTGTGTTGCTGTGTCTTTGTCCTTGCTGCCTCAGTGCAAAATGTTGTAGCTGCTGGCGTTCACACCCGTGCTCCTTAAGTGATTATGTCCTTTTCGAAGGAAGGCAGCTCTGCACATGAATTAGCAGATGTCTGGTTGTTTTTGACAAGGCAGTCTGCCAGTGTAGTCTCGTACTCACTATGTAGCCCAGGCTGGCCTCAAATCATGATTCCCCCTTTCCTCTGCCTCCTAACTGTTGTGATCACAGACAATGACTACCATGCCCAGTTGGAATATGAAACTACGTTAGTACATTCTGTGTAATGCTTTTTTGGTTACTGGTCAGTCATAGTGTTTCTGGCTTCGCTCTGTACATTCTGTTTTTTGTCATATGTGAGCATCATTTGCTTTCCTTTGCCAGTTTTATTCTGCTAATGGGCAGAACCACTGTAGTGATGCAGTTTTGTAAGATCTAGTGTCCCTCTGACTGTGCAGTACTTGAACTTGTAGTGATCCTCCTGCTTCAGCTTCCCAAGTAGCTGGAATTAAAGGGATGGACTCCCAGGACCACTCTGATGGTAGAGTCTCAAATGCCACATGTGCTGGAGTGTTGGTTAGGGTATATTCAGAGAAAGATGCCAGACAGGAGGTGTTTACCTCAAAACACCTCCTGTAAGCTTCCAGTAAGAGAGACTGCACAGTGAAAACAGTGTCAGCTGAGGGAAAGTAGAGGGGAGAGAGAGGATCATTGGCATGGAGTGGTACTGTAACTTTGACATTCCCTTTCTTTGTAGCCCAGGCTGGACTCATGTTTAAGCCATATTTTGCCCTCCTAGGGCTGGGATGGCAGACTCATGTCAGTGTGTTTAGCATTCATTTTATCTTTCTCTTCTGGAAGGAGTGAGACAAGGTTTGTCTGTGTAGCCTGGGGATTTTGGAACTCTGTAGACCAGGCTGGCCTTGAACTCAGATCTGCCTGCCTCTGCTTCCTGAGAGCCGGGATTAAAGGTGTGGGTCACCATGCCTGACTCATTTTGTCTTTCTGTGTTTCTATAGCACTGTTGTTGAACCCTCTGGCCTTTATGTGTCACAGGCTGTTTGTTTCATTTAATTGAGAGTAGGTGATTGCTTGCCTTGTCTGCTCTTGTGATTCTTGCTGTGACCAGCAGCTGTGCTCCCGTGAGTGTGCAGTCTTGGTTGGCTATCTTGCAAGTGTACTTAGGGCCCAGAGTTTCTGCTAGTGTGCCTGGCACATGCATACCAGCTTCCTGCTCTTTGCTTTCTTGAACCTTCCTTAATTGTTCTGTTTCTTCTCATTACCCATGTTCTCTGTTGCCTCTGTGGCTTTTTGTGCAATGCTAGTCAGTTAATATCTCCTTGCCGCCCCTTTTCCCCAATACTTTTTTACCCGTGGGAACATCAAACGTGGTTCAGATTTTGGATTGGGTGTTTTGTTGATTTTTTTAAATGTTTTTATTGAGGCAGGGTTCACATAGCCCAGACTGGTCTGAGGTCACTGTGTGGCTGAGAGTGGCTTCTTACTGGTCCTCAGGCCTCCACTTCCCAAGTGCGGGCTCGCACCTGCTCCTTTGCAGATCTGCCAGCTCTTTTTAGGGTACCACTCATAAAGCACTTGGACCTGAGAGTAGAAAGGGAGATTAGTGACAGGGAAGTGGGCATGTAGGAGAAAAGTGGGTGCACATTATGAGTGCAGAAGATAGTGATGAACTTGTTTTTTTTTCCCCCCGAGACAGGGTTTCTCTGTATTGTTTTGGAGGCTGTCCTGGAACTCACTCTGTAGACCAGGCTGGCCTCGAATTCACAGAGATCCGCCTGCCTCTGCCTCCTGAGTGCTGGGAGTAAAGGCGTGCGCCACCAACGCCGAGCGAACTTGTTATTAATATGTTAATAATACAAAGAAAATTACCACCCCCCCACCCCAACCCCCTCACCAGCTCCTCATTCTTCCTTCCCCTCCTGCTCTCCCAGGTATTTCCAGATCTGGAGTTATTTGACATAGAATGTTGAAGAAGTTGTAATTTTATTCGGATTTTTAGATTTACTACAAGTTACCGAAATCATTAATGTGCTGTAGGGGAAAGTTGATTTTGAATGGGTTGACAACTCATACAATGTTGGAGATGAGAATTTGTTAATCTTTTAAACATACTCTTCCTTTCTTCTTTTGTTTCTTTTTCTTCCCCCTGAGACAAAGTCTCACTGTGTTGCTATGGCTGTCCTGGAACTCACTGGGCTGCCCTCAGACTCACAGACATCTACCTGCTTCTGCCTCTCAAGTGTTGGGATTAAAGGTGTGCACCACTGCACCCTACCAAACATTGCTGTTTTAAAACTCAGTTACAATTATTATTTGGTGCTAGGTGTCAAACTTAGGGCCTTGTGCAAACATTCACATGCTCTACCATAGAATTACTTAGAAGTAATTTTTATACTTGTTTCCCAGCAATATTGTGCCATTTCATTTCTGATTTTTAAAAACTAACCAAAGGGCACTTGGTATGAATGTCTGAGGTGGCCTTTGCAGTTATTTCTGTACCTATTTAAAACTACAAAACCCTTTTAACAAAGATATTTCAGAGGAGGACTTTAAAAAATTAGCAGAGCATTTCCTCTCTATTCTTACAGGCTGCTGCTGAAGAAATCTGGTTGCAGGACACCACGAATTGAACTGGAAGAGATGGGACCATCGATGGACCTGGTTCTGAGGAGGACACACTTAGCATCAGATGACCTTTATAAATTGTCCATGAAAATGCCCAAAGCTCTCAAGGTACGTAACCTGTGATGTGGTACTGTGTTTATTTCTATTCTACTCTTGCCAGGAAGAATTTGTGGGACATTATATTAAAAATATACATGAAAAAAATGAATAAAAAGTTAGGCTCAGAGCCAGAAAAAGAGCATATGTAGACGTAAGACGTAAGGGTAATACAGAGTTGCAGAATCCAGGAGTCTAGTTTGACTGATAATTTTCTCATAGCCAGGATTGCCATTTTTGGCACAACCAGAACATTGTGGGCATCATGAAGACTGGGTTGAAAGCTGTTTTCAGAGTGATGTATGCGTTAAATGTGTATTGACTTGTGGCCTAGTCTGGCCTTGCTCAGGATTCTTCTGTCTCAGACCCTCAAGTGCTGGATTATAAGCATGCACTACCAGGCCCAGCTTTGTTTTGACTTTAAATTGTTTCAAAAACAGCTAGAAAGGCTAGAAGATGACTTAGTGGTTTAAGAGCACTTGCGACTATTACAGAGGACCAGAGATTGAGTCCTAGCATCCGTCATGCCAGTGATTCACAACCAGCTGTACCTTCCTCTTGTGGCCTCCATGGGCTCCTGCATACATACACATAGTTAACAATGAAATAAAAGAAATGTCATCGCAAATAGACACCTTGACTCTGGACTGCTAGTGTAGATTGAACTAACAATTAAAACATCTAAGGCTAAGCATAGGACACTGTCTTCATACGTGACAGTGGTCAGTGTGATGACCTGACATTTTTCCCAGATGGCAGTGTTGTAGGACATGGGGGAGGGGCTAGTGGTTGACTCTGAATGAGAATTTGCACTTTAAAGAAGTCCCATGATCCCTAGAGAGGAAAGGTGTGTAAAGCTGTGTCCTTTGTGCCATTGAGTCTTCACAGTGGGAATGTTACTAAGAGGTGTATGCTAGGTTTTTACCAGTTATATGGTAAAAGGCCACTAAGAAATCAAACCCCATACATCTTTTTTCTCTTGTTTACAGCCAAAGAAGAGAAAGAATATCTCCCAGGATACTTTTGGTACAACGTTTGGAAGGATTCATATGCAGAAGCAAGACCTAAGCAAACTACAGACCAGGAAAATGAAGGGGTTGAAGAAGCGACCTGCAGAGACAGGGACAGAAGACCAGGGGAAAAAATCAAAGAGAATGAAGAAAAACTAGTGGAACCTAACTGAGAGTGACCACTTTCTTGTGGTTGCTTACTGAGAATTGTTCAACTGAGTCTGTTCAGTTTCCTCATAGGAATTGGTGTTTATTTGGAGGGGTGGAGGTGTGACAAGACCTCACACTGTAGCCCAGGCTAGCCCCAGCACTTGAGTGCTGCAATTACAGGCGTGTACCACCATACTCAGCAGATTGTATATTTCTGTAACATAATTTATTACTTAAATTTTATACAAAATTAATTAATATGCGTGTGGGAGCACGTATGTCATGGTTTGTGTGTGGTCAGAAGCCAGCTGGGGACTCGGTTGTCCCCGTGGGCATTGAACTTGGTCACTCAGTTTGTCAGGCTCCGCAGTAAGTACCTTAATCCACTGAGTTTCTCCACTGGCCCAATTTATTACTTATCGTTATGAACGGTAACACTGCAAGTTTAAAACAGGCTTCTTTACCTGTGCCATTGGGTCCCAGTGTACTTGCTGCCTGTGCTTGGGGTGATAGCCCTCTCTCCAAGTACTTCTTTTTGACTGTGTGAGAACCGGGGGCCACCCCATCTGTGGACAGGTGGTGCTGACTGCAGTAACTTGGGCAATAGGAGAAGTGAGGTGGAGTCGGTGTGAGTGCTTGGCAGGGCTTTAATGGGGGAGGGGGGCTCCTGAGAGGGCTTACCACACCGAGTGATCAGGCTGACCCCGACCGCGCGCGCGCGCGCACACACACACACACACACACACACACACACAACACTGGTCGTAACTGGTGTAGTGTGTATTCTTAGGAGGAGCTGAGAGGCTGTTAGAGATGGGGATGGACACACACACACACACGCACGCACGCACGCACGCCACTGGTTGTAACTGTGGTGTAGTGTGTATTCTTAGGAGGAGCTGCCTTGTGTAAGATGCCAGTCAGTGGCCAGTTTGTCCTGGGAGACATGATGCCCCTGGGGTCCTTACAGTATAGTACACCTGCTCTTGATGGTGGAGCTGGTCCTTATATAGTGGGGGTTGAGGACAGCCATACATCACTCAAGTAGGGAATGGCACCACACACTGACGAGAGTGGACGGGAGGGAAAGACAGGCACACTTTCTAGTAACAACAGGTGGTGGATCCAGACCGAGAGCTTTCCAGCCCTGACCTCCTGTGCTGGTCCCTGCCTCACATTAGATATTAGGCAGCAGTGTGAATCCCAGGGAATGCGTGCCCTACTCCAATACACAGCTGCAGCTTGACCTGGTTTTACTCTTACTGTTTTGCTAGAAATCTTACTAACTAGAAGATTTATCAGGGTTGGATTGGTTATGCATGGCTTTGATTCCACCGCTAGGGAGGCAGAGGCAGGCAGATGCCTGTGAATTGGAGGGGCTATGCAGTGAGACCCCATCTCAAAAGAATCTGGATTCGTGGTTTAAAGCAGGTTATTAAAGTGACTCTGTGACCGTTGATGTGGTCCTGCGCTGTCCTATTTTATCCCTGAGCTTCGGATGATGTGCTGGGCTTCACCATTGAGCCATTCCCAGCCCACAAAGGAATTCAGCAGGGTACCTTTGAGAAGGGTAGAGCCCAGAACTGGCAAGTTAAGGTGAAAGACTCCTCAGGAAGTGAAAGGCTGCCTGGAGAACCTGGGTATTTGTAGATAGAAGAGGAAGTAAATCAGCCCCGTCAGTGAGAAGATAGAAGGCACTGCCACCGCCTCCTAGTGTTATCTGTTTCCAGGGAACAGTAAACTTAGGTTCCTCAAGTTAGTCCTTAACAAAGGAAGTATAGAGTCTGTTCCTTTCTCTCTCTGCCCAAAAGGATTTACGTATTGTGAGGTCCACTTGCCTCTGGCTCCAAAGTACTGTGATCAGTGGTATATGCCACCACACATTTATTATTCATTCATTATTGTGTGTGTGTGAGAGAGAGAGACAGAGACAGACAGAGAGAAAGAGAGAGAGAGCGAGAGCATATGCATATGACTGCAGGTATCAGTGGAAGCCAGAAGAGAATGTCAGCTTCTCTGGAGTTGTGTGTGAGCTGCTGGATATGGATAGATTCTAGTACTAAACTCAGTTTCTCTGGAAGAACAGTATTTTTGGTTTTTTGTTTTTTGCTCTAACCACTGAGCCCAGTAAGCTCTCCTTAGACATACAAGCTGGTTCTGTTGTGAAGAAAAAAAAAAAAAAAAAGCTGAGCAATCCTCAGCACTGCAAAAGAACAAAAAAGCAACTGGGCATTGTGATTGGCTGCTGTAAGCCCAGCATCAGAAAAGCAGGGGCTGTTCACTGAGGCCAGCCTGGTCTGCACAGCAAGTTTTGGGTTACAAAACAAGACCCTGTCTTTAAAACCCAAACAAAAAAGCTTAGGTGTGTGTGCACATCTGTATGTACATGAGACACAAGGCATGTTTGCAGTCTCATGTCCAGCTTCCCACCCCCCCATCCCTATGTGTCTGTGCTCAGCTACAGGTCAGCAGTGCTGGCAAAGCAAATGCTGGACGCTGTGCTTCCCTCTGTGTCTTTCCTCTGGTGAACCAGAGTCACAGCCAAGGCTAAGGATCGTCCTTGACCTTGGGAGTCCCTTTGCCTACCAAATACTAAAGGTGAACCACATAGGAACCGGCTCCTGTGTAATTACTGCAATCAAAAATAGTCCTTGAAGATTCACACGCACCAATTGGAGTTTATTTCCCCCATCTCCTATGCCTTAGTTAGGGTTTTCATTGCTGTGTGGTGACATGACCACGGGCAACTCTTACAAAGGGAAACATTGAATGGGGTGGCCCATGGGGCCATGGTGATGTGCAGGCACATTGCTGGAGAAGGAGCTGAGAGTCCTGCATCTTGATCTGAAGGCAACAGGAAGTGAGGCACGCCTTTAATCCCAGCACTCGGGAGGCAGAGGCAGGCGGATCTCTGTGAGTTTGAGGCCGGGCTGGACCGACAGCCTCCAAAACAATACAGAGAAACCCTGTCTCGTAAAACAAAAAAACAAAACAAACAAACAAAAAAAAAAGAAGACCTCAAAGCCCACCCCCTACAGTGACATACTTCCTCCAACAAGGTCATACCTCCCAATAGTGCCACTCCCTATAGGGGCCATTTTCTTTCAAACTACCACATCCTATAGTCCCACGTCTTGGTCACTTACTTGACAGCAATGGTGGAAGACTGAGTAGGGACATCTCTTTAGATGCCAATTTGCACCATCACTTCTAGCTGGGCCTTTTAGAGGTATCCTTGAGGTCGTTGCATCTAGATCAGAGTAAGAATTGTTTATAGTTCCTTATTTCTACCCATTCCTCATTTACCTTTACTAAAGGAATGCTGACTTTGTCTCCAGCACCTTCTCAATTAGGGGCACACCACGTTAGGCAGTCTTGAAGGCAGTAACGCTCTGGTGAGATAAAAGTTCCGCAAAGACAATCTCAATGTGGCCCAGGGAATGTGTGGGTGTGGGGAGCGGTGGGCTGTCCAGCACACGGAGAGGAGTGCAGGCAACACACCCTCTTTCTCAGAGCAAAGCTAAGACACAAACCCAAGAGAAGAACACAACCATGGGCAACGCCAGCGGATGACATGGAGTTGAGACAGCAGCATCACAGCTAACAGCCTTTTCCTAGAAGGCCTATGCTGTTAGCCCCAGTATATCGTGGAAGCTGAGGTACGAGGATTGTCATGGGTTCAAGGCCAGCCAGAGCTACAGAATTGAGACCTTCTCTCAAAATAAAGGAGGGGCTTGGGGGATAGCTCAGTCTGGAAAGTAGGAAGCATAAGGACCTGTCTTCAGTGTCCAGCATCCTTGGGAAAAGGTGGCCATGCACATTTGTAATCCTAGTCATGACAGTGTATGCAATCTCTGACAGACTGCAGCTTCTTTCTGTAGGGCAAGGAAAAGAGAGGGACTTGGGAAAAGTTGCTTAATGGGTATTGAATGAAAGGAGTCAGTGGTTCTGGTGTCCTAGCCCCACAGTGTGCTGACTGTAGATGATATACTGCACTTTTTGCAAAACCAGAAGGTAGGAGATAGTTGTGTTTAGGTAGATTTGAACATTAAGATATGTGTGTATATCATGGACTGGAGATAGCTTAGTGGTTAAGAACACTGACTGCTCTTCCAGAGGACCCGGGTTTTATTCTCAGCCACATGGCAGCTTACAACCACCTGTAACTCTAATTTCAGGGAATCCAGTGCCCTCTTCTGGCATTCCTTCATACCAGGCATGCAAATGACATACACACACACGTGCAGGAAAATCACCCACAGACATAAAATAGTCATTTAAAGACCCTATGAATAGTATAATTTTATGTCAGTTTTTAAAAAGTAAAATTTAAAACCCAGGGTATGATCCTTTGGAATTTACCTAACCTGTTCATCTAAAAATAAAAATGCTCGGGGTGTTGGTGGCACACACCTTTAATTCCAGTACTCGGGAGCAGAGGCGGGTGGATCTCTGTGAGCTTGAGGCCAGCCTGGTCTACAGAGTGAGTGCCAGGACAGGCTGCAAAGCAATACAGAGAAACCCTGTCTCGAAAAACACCAAAAAGTATAATAAAAAAATTAAAAATAAAAATGGGATCTAGAGAAATAGCTCAGTGGTTAAGAGTACCAGTTGCTCTTGTAGAGGCTCAGGTTCAGTTCCCAGTACCCACACGGTCTCACAATTATGGCACACGCCTTTACTTCCAGCACTCGGGAGGCAGAGGTAGGCAGATCTCTGTGAGTTCGAGACCAGCCTGGTCTACAAGAGCTAGTTCCAGGGCAGCCTCCATAGCCACAGAGAAACCCTGTCTGGAAAAACCAAAACACAAACCAAAAAACCCCCCAAAAACTCTAGTTTCTGGGTGTCCAATGCCCTCTCTGGCCTTGAAGGCATGTGGTGCACAGACATACATGCAGACAAAATACTCATACATGCATAAAAAAATAAAATCTTTCTAAAAAATAAAAGATGAGGCTGTGGTTCACAGTGGTTGTACCTTATAGTGGTCACTTTTCCTTGAGTACATGAAGCCCTGAATTTAGTCTCCAGCACCATGAAATTAAAATGATGTTAACAATAATAATAGCATAAAATTAAGTGATAAACACCAAGGTGTCAATCCTTGGTAGGTATCATTTAATTTCATCAATCAGATACAAGGCTAATTGTGTAATTACACAATGCATATATGCTAGGAGCTACACATAGCAGTACATACCTGTAATTTGCGTTCTCAGAGATTGAGACAGGAGGGTGACAAGTTGAAGCTCAGCCTGAGTTTCGAGGAGAGAATGTCTTGAAAACCAAAGCAAAACAAAAACAAACTAGAACATGTACTAGAAGACTGAATTATATCTGATTTTATAACAATTTATAATTATTAGGCAAGCTCAAGATAATCCGTTGGGTAGAGCACCTGTCAAGTGTACATGAGGTCCTGGTTTTGATCCCATGTGCTACATGAACCAGGCATGGTAACAAACGCCTATAATTCCAGCTCGCAGGCGTAGAGCAGGAGGATTAGAGAAGTACAAGGGTGTCTTCTGCGGTATAGGAGTTCAAGGTGAGCCTGGTACACACGAGGTCCTGTCTCCAAGATCCAACTCTAATGCACAAGCTGACTTAGTGGAGCCCATTCTATATGCAGAGATACCTTGCTCAGCCTAGACACAGGGATGTGGGGGTGGAGAGGTGCCATGGTCCTGCCTCAACGAGATGATGGGACAGACTTAGTAGTCTTCTTCGTAGGGGTGGGCAATTCTCCAAGGAGCAGATGGGAGATGGGGGATTTGGGGGGAGCGGGAGGAGAGGAGGCAGGGGGAACTGGGATTGGAGTGTTAAAAAATAAATTATTTTAAAAAAGTTTTAAAAAGTTCCTGAAAAGAGAACAATAATGTAAGAAAAGGAGAAAGTCGGGTGGAAAGCTGTGCAGTTTTGCCATCATGAGATACCTGTCACTCCATTCTTCCATGACTCCCTTGGTACTTGCCTTAATGTTTCAGTAGTTGTCATGTCAAAATGCTGACAGTTTTGCTTTGTTTTTGAGACAGGGTTTCTCTGTGTAGCGTTGGAGCCTATCCTGGCACTTGCTTTGTAAACCAGGTTTACCTTGAACTCACAAAGATCTGCTTGCCTCTGCCTCTCTAAGTGCTGGGATTAAAGGATTAAAGCCACCACCGCCTGGCTAACGTACTGACAGTTTTCATATTGTATAACTTCAAGGTATATTAACTCAAGGGAGTCTTTACTGATTTCTTTTTATGTAAAATGCAGGATATTTAGGGTTCTCAGCAAGAGGAACTTATTGACACAGTCTTCATCATGAGAGATGTGTGTCACAGCCAGAACGGGGTAAGACTCAGGTGTTCCTCAACCCGTGACCCAGTCACCCCTGGGGAAGATGGTCTGCTCACTTCAGCCCTTGACCCCTGGGGTCCTCAATTTATGCCAAAAGACAACTGGGCATAGGATTTCC